TGGCCGCTGGCCCGTGCTGCCCCTCACCATCACCCCACGCCGGCTCTGGCTGGGGTGGACTCTCCCCACACGCTAACCTTTGGGGTTGCACCGCTGGGCTGAGACCCCTGGGGTGACCGGCTGCCTCCTGCTCTTCCAGAGCTGTCCAAAAGGTTTCTGGCTGTCCCAGGTCTAGCTTGGAAGGTGGGTTTAGTCCTGATATACTGAGCTCCTCAGGGAACGGCTCATGTTCGGAGGCCATCTCCCACTTGGCACCATCTGTGGTCCCCATCAGAGGGGATAACCCTGGCTGGCTCCAGCTCTCCTTGGCACCTGACTGGCCTAATCCATCTAGGGAGAATTTCGATGGGCAAGTCTTGAATTGCTCAGCCACATCTGTCTCATTCATCTCTGACCAGTCTTCCCCCAGAGAAGTGTCTTTTTTTGCCATCTCACTAGCTCTCGCCTCCAAATGAGCTGCTGAGTCCGCAGTGGCAGGTTCAGCATCCTTGGAGACCGGGAACTCGCTCCCGGCTTCAGCTATGTCCACTCCCAGTGCGGGAGGGCTGGGAGATGCTGGGACAGAGGGCTCGCTGCTCCTCGGCAGCTCCACATCAGCCTTTGAGCCCTCCACATCTTCCCATCGCTCCTCGCTGCCTTGCAGCTTCGGCCGCGGGTCGCCAGCATCCTCCTCCTCACCATCCTCTCCACCGCCCACAGCTGCGAACCACCTGGGAGGTTTTGGGGGTGGCACAGCCGAGCCTGATGCCATCTCCTCCTTCTCTCGGGCACCTGTCCACGGAGAGAGGACGACGTGCCTCTCACGGATGTCAGAGCTGAGCTTCACCCGGCTTTCACTGGCCTCCAGCCGCATGCTAGCCTGGAGCCGGTAGACTGAGGTCCGTATGTCGAACGCCTCCTCCTCGCTACCAGCGCCCTGGGGCTCTGTCCCTGGCTCGGGGACCATGGGGAACCGTCGTGCTGCCACATCTGCGAGCACCCGTGGGGGCACAGCTGCCACGTTACTGCCCGGCAGGGCTTCGGAGATGGGCTCGGGAGCTAAGGTGCTTCTGGGCAACACACAAGCGGTGGTGCGAGATCCGCTCTTTGCTTCGAAGGCACTCTCGCCGAGGAAGGCTGGCCGCTGGCCGAACGCGCTCTCCTGACCCACCTGCTCCTGCTCGGCCATGCTTTGGGCACTCTCTGAGAGGTCAGGAGCGGTTTCGGTGGCTATGGTCATCCATCCGTTTGTCCCTGCACTAGAGGGTTCCTCCTCGTTACTGTCCCCTTCCTCCCTGGTGTTATTTTCAGCAGTTAGGGGTGTTGAAACCTCTTTTTCTCCTGGGTGTCCTGATGTAAACGCAACTGTCCAAACCGTAGGCATGCTGCTTTTCCTCCTCCTCCCCATCGACCCCGCCGACACGGGGCTCAGCACATCTTCTATCACCGTCGCTTCCTGAGTTGTGCTCACCAAGTTCGCCCCCACATCTAACCTGGAGAAATTAGTCCAAGACCGTAGAGCTGTGGGCATTTCGCTGCCAATTTGTGAATCAGCCTTTTCAAATACTTTTGTTTCCTTCTCGCCAGCCAGCTCGGCCGATCTTTCCGTCGGGCTGGCTGCATCGGGATCATCGATGAAAGCCATGCCCTCTGCCGTCACCGAAGCAAAGAAGTTTTCCTTCTTCAGGTCTGGTTTGAGCCTGCTGGTCGCAAAGGCATCGAAGGTGTCGTCCCACTCTGAGAGCGGAGGAGGGATGGCGGGTTTCTCATCTGGAGGAGGAAGGTCTCCTTGTGATGTGGGAGTAGTTTCTGGAACGGGAACACCAACGCTTTTGGCTGGAGACTCCCTCTCTGGGTCTTTATTTCTTAGGGAGGCAGCGGGACTGCAATCCTCAGAGGAATAAAAGTTCCCAGTGACCTCTGTTGAAGCATGCGGCCCAGACGGGAAACTAGAGAAAAAGTGAGTAGGTGAAGGAGAATTTAGTACCTGGTCAGCGAGGAGGTCCTCAAAGAAAGGATTGCTCTGCAGGGAGTTGAGGAATGGGTTGGTAGGGGACAAGCATCCGGACTGACTGTCTCCGATAGCGGGAGAGAGGTTAGCGCTCGGCATGCTAGCGAGATGGGCTACAGCGGCAGGCGGAAACTGGGCAGGGGAGCAGGGAGGAAAATGAGAAGGAGCATCTGAGCTGGTTTCTACCTGAGGAGACACTTCCAGGCTGTGGAGGGAAGACAAAACAGTCCTCCTGGTTAATGCTGTGACAGTGCTGTAAGCATACACCACACACACGACAAACGCTTCGGTTCAAAGCAAATGCAATGATCAAATACATCCTCGTCTCTCTTGGTTAGGCAGAGCAATGATTATGGAGTCAAGGCGTGGAAAGGGCATGCACGACAAAAAGCCAAGGGCAGCCCTTCCTCTAGAACAGTCCTCCAAACTTCCCCTTTCTTGCCTTTAACAAGCCCTAAGACTCAGGAGACCGAGAGGTTTTTCCCCACCTCCTGCAGCCCAAGGACTCGGCTCATTTTTTTTGTCCCAACGCCGGTGCGTACCACGGGCAGGCTGCGCACGAGGAGCCAGGCTGGGCTCTTGGATCAGGATTATTTCAGGCAGTAAGAGCACGCAGGAGTGAGCCTTTCGCAGTTCACCCCAGTGCCTCGTTACTTGTTTGGCAACACACTAGGATGCCAGCGGACACGGTGCTCCCTCTCGCACAGGAGGGACGGTAGCGTGGCTGCGGGAGGCCAGGGAACAAGAGCGAAGCAGGAGGGAGCATGTGGCCAGGACGTGGCCCTGGCTCCACTCTGGACTCTGCCCAGCCTCCCCGGACACCCTTTGTCACATCACTTCTGCCCTGAGATCCCTGAAACCCCCTGGGGGACCCCAAGATGAGGAAGGGATTCAGCACATCTCCAATTCAGACTGTCAGGCTCCTCCTGCACCCTGCCCCAAGTCAGGCGGCCAGTTGTTTGCTGCCCGTTCAAGAGGGACTACACTGACCTTTTTTTGGGATTTTATCAATCGTCCTTTGGGAACTCCTCCAGCAACGAGCATCACGGCGCCCCAGGAAGCCTCGCCAGGCCAGGGCTGCCCATCTTGGAGGTTTTCCCATCACAAAGGGTGCAGCGTGGACACCCTGCACCCCAAATGCCACGCTCCCTCCTCCTGAGTCCCCATCCCCTTGACTCACCCCTGCCAGGAGCAATCCTGTCCCCAGGGTGGGGACACCCGTCCCTGGCACACGCGGCCACGCTGCCCCGTAACCGAGCTGTCGGGATTACTTCCTTCTGCATCGGCCACGGCAGCTGAGCTTCAAAGAGACCCCGGTCTCCATTTGGGGGACATACGGACATTGATCAGCCAGCACCGGGCATATCAAATTTAACGAGTAATTAATAAAGTAATTGCTTTGCCAACATGCACGGGGTGTGCCCAGCCCCGGGGCTACATGGTGGTATGTCCCTGCCTCGCCCGAGCTGCTGGGTGGGATCAGACGCACGGGAAGGTCACGGGCAAATGGCAAAGCTGCTGCTTGGACAGCTATTTTCACCTGTGATAATAACAGAAAGCCTTAGACACGTTTTAAAGTGCAAAAATGCCATCTTGAGGCAAAAGTTAACGCTACGTGAAGGCGCAGTCGGCATCGGCTGCTTTTAAAGCAGGCAGGGTTACGCGCCCGCAGCGCCTTGGACCGCGAGCGATGCACGGCCAGGCAGGGGAGCAGCAGGACCCGCTTCTCCCCATCCTGGCAGCGTCACGGTGCCCCCCACACATCACTTTCTGAGCAGCTACCTTGGGAAGGTGCCTGTCTATGCCATCAGTGCCACCAACGTCCCCCCATCCCGGTTTTTAGGCAGATAGCACACACAGCAAGTGGCCGAGCGCGACGGGCTCAACTCCAGCACCTACCAGATACTATTGAGCAGAACTAATAATTCAGGCCCAAAAAAAAAGCCCCAAACCCTTCATTTCCACTCAGACCTGCAGCTCCCTTGGTGCTGCGGGCAGAGACAGCTCGTGGGTGCCCTCTCCTGCTGTCACAAAGCAGCGGTGGTGGCCCTGGCCGTGGTGCCCGTCCCTGTCCCCGCACAGCCCTGCTGTGCTCCACCGTGTCTCTGTGTCCTCTCCCCGCTCCGACCACCGGCGTGTAGCAGGGTGGAAAACCCTCTGCAGAAGATAACTTCCACAGAAGATAACTCTGAGCCAGCCCAGCTCTTCCCGGGTGTTTGGGGCTCTCAGGGAGCACAGAAAATCTCCCGGAGAAGTGGTGGGAGAAGGTGATGGACCTTGAGGCACAAACCACTCCCAGCAGCCGCTCTGCCGGGGAGCCAGCCTCTCTGGGGCGTGGGGTTGGGGTGCTCTGCATCCGAACCCTGCATCCAGACCACCCAAGGGCAGCCTTGCTGTTCTGTAAAACACCATCCCTGAGCAGCAGCAGCACAGCACGACAGCGTTTCCCAAGCAGACGGGCCAGCCCATCTCCCCCAACTCCCCGGCACTGCTCTTTGGGGTTTGCCATCCCAAAGGTCTCAAGACTTTGGCTCCTATTGACAGCATCCCTCAATCCTTCTGGTTTTCTGAATGCAGAAGGTGCAAACGCCTTTTTTTCCCCTCGTCACCCTCCTCCAGAAGAGGAGCACGGCTGCCCATGACCCAAGGTCCGGCTGGGTGAGTTCACAGGGTCCAGAGATGGGTTTTATCTGTGATGGAACGGGGAAAAACATGGCAAATAGCTGAGATATTGGGAAGAAATGTTTTCCTGTGCGGGGGGTGAGGCAGTGGCCCAGGGTGCCCAGAGAAGCTGTGGACACCCCATCCCTGGAGGGGTTCAAGGCCAGGCTGGATGAGGCTTTGGGCAACCTGGGCTGGTGGGAGGTGTCCCTGCCCATGGCAGGGGGTGGCACTGGGTGGGCTTGAAGGTCTCTTCCAACCCATTCTGGGATTGATTCTATGAAATCTGCCTTTCCAGCTGGAAGGGGAAGGCAGGAAGGTCCCACCTAAACCACCACCACCTCAGGGGCCCTACCTCTGCTCGCTCCTGCGATTGCTCCTTCTCGCTGGCACTCGCTTTCATGTTTTGCTCCAGACGAAGATCCTCCTTCGTGATTCTGCTCAAACATCTAGTGCTGAGTAAGAGCAAGTGGGGCCCAATCCAGCTCTGCTGGGCTCCAGCAACCAAATAGCTCCAGAGCATTAATCAGCTTCAGGCTCCTAATGAGTGCTCGCTGCTAACGACCTTCCCAGCTGCCAGGAGGCTGAGTGGTTGAAGTTCCTTCCCCGGGGGATGGCTGATGCCAGAGAAGCCCCTTGCCCAGGCAGACGGGATGGGCAGTGCCCCAAATTGCACGGCTCACCACCTCCACAGATGGAGGAACAGCTTCAAGAGCACTTCAAACCCACCCGAGATGGCCTTGTGCTCCTTCCCCAAGTCATGATGGGGCTCACGGGGTGCTGGACCCCCTGAGAAAGAGCAGCTCTGGGCCATGCAGCGAGCTGGTCCCAGCCCCAAGCGTCTGCCTGCGTGGTCTGGGCCACTGGGAATTGGGATGGGGCTTTTGGCAGCCCCCCATTGCCCCATGCTGGTCGTGACCTACACATCGGTATCGGGATGCAGGAAAACAAAGGCTGCACTTCACCTGGGGAACAAAGTGGGTGAACATGAATCTCGTCCTGGAAGGAAGCAAACCAGCAGCAACGCAGCCTCTGGTGCAGGAGGACCCAAATCCCTCCCCGGCCAGGCACTGGTCCCATATCATCCTCCCCCAGCATATGCCACCCAAGCCAAGCTAAAGGTATAAAGACAGAACTTAAATCCACCCTTTTTTCGTGGGATTCCACTTTTCCTCCTCCAAAACGCCCTACTGAAGTTTCCTTCCCACTGCC